CCCCAAAACCCCAAAACCCCAAAACCCCAAAACCCCTTTTATGCTACAAAATTATGAATCTTTTTATACTAAATTTAATCTAAGTGTAAAAATGAACTGTGACCAAACACTTGAAGAATTATGAAGTTCTCCTTCAAATTCCAAAATTCTAAAGCATCAAAATGATACATCAGATCAGGCGCAAGGTAACTTATCTCCTCATAAGCAGAGGAGGAGTAGAAAGAAGGCAAACATTAAATTCCAGGAGACTCACAAGGTAACTCATGAGATAATAGTCACTAAGGAAGGGTCTAAAAACTTCTCCAATTTCCAAGCCAACAGATGTTTTTCTCCACATGAAAATTCAGTCCATTTAGACAACTCTGAGTGGACTCAGGCTCGTAAGGGATCTCTTGACGTCAAGAAGATATTCAATGGTAGGAACTATGCCTCGAAGGTAGTTGCCAAGAATAAGCTAGAGGAGCTGAAACTCAGGGACAATGACTTTCTCACCCCTAGCAAGTCAACTGCAATCCCTATAACTTCTCCTACACGAAGTATCATTAAATCTACCAATGGGAATTCTCCTTTGCTGAATCTTACAAAAATGCAGAAGCCTCATAAAATCAGTGAGGAAGAAGCTAGAGAGAAGAAATGTGATAGACTCACAAAGCAGATGAGACAACTTAAAATGACTATCAGGTAGATATTCTCTCTAGATCCTATACATAGCAACTTTTAGCTGCAATAGTTCTGGTAAATTTATGCTCTATGCACAAAAGATCCTTGATTTGTGCCAATTCATTAGCTTACATTCGAGAAACTTTAAAATTACAGCTCAGATAGCAGAGCATGCCTACAGTTTGGCACCTAACTTTTAAACTCTCTGAAAAGGTATGAGAATTGAGTTTTATAGAAATATGAATAATATTGAAAATATTAAATCATAGTTCATTGCTCTCAGGGCCAGATTTCAGTTTTTGCTAAGTATACAGGAATTATATTTCCTTTCAGAAGTAAAAAAATGCAAACACCTTCTTACAATGTCTAAAGATTATTAATAAATGGGTTTTGAACCCCCTAAAGTCTATTATGGAGTTCTTTGGATTTTCTCAAAAGGAATGGGTAAAATTCCTGCTGCATATTTTTAAGTACCTAAGCTTGGTCCGGTCTTATGCGTTTTGTATCCCTATGGCTAGATAGTACTGCCAATAAATATCTGAACATCTATTATAGATTATCTGATCTAAATGAAGCCTCTTGATTGACCCTTCAAGGAGTATTTCCTCTTATAAAGAGCAGAGTTCTGCTCCCAAATCATTTGTGAATAGTTCGGAAACCTCAATAGATTAATATAGTGTCTCTATCTTTCGGAAATAAGTTGCTAGATATCTTTTTAAGATGTTTATTAGATCCTCACCTTCATTAAGCATAATATTTCAGGCCATTGGATACCTCAGGAGATGAATTTTGCCTAAATTATACATTTCAATATAAAGAGAGCTTGTTCTATAAGCCAAACTTTCTATATTTGTATAATAGTTTCTTCTAAACCATAAAAGAATGTAGCATTAATACGAACTAGTTTTTTATTTCGAGATGATGAATAATTGAAGGTGTCAAAGTGACATTTTATGATATTAAATCATAACTTTTTGCATATCTATACTGCTAAAGAGCCCAAGACAAAAAACTTGGATTTTAACCTCTGCCTTAGGAATAGTTTGAGTAGCATTCGATATACTTTAAGAGCATCTTATTGTTAGATTTATATAGAGTACATCCAGACTAGCTTGATCATCCTGACAATAATCCTTAATTTCTGAGCACTCAGAATGTACGAAAATGAGCATTTCGATAAAGGAGAGGATCAGATTGAAAGTGGAGGTATTGAAGATGTCCGTCTCACAAAACTCGAGACTCAGAATGACATTCTCAGATATATCAGTGTATCCATCTCAGGCTTTGTAATATTCCTAGAGGTCTATGTGTAAGTAACTTTTAGAGTTTTTATAAACTTTCTTCATAAAAGATACTAAAGAACTTTAGATATGGCTGCTCAAAAAGACATTACGAAGAACTATACGATGATCTTACTTGAGTAACCAACTATACTCCAAAAATGGTGATGTATCAACAAAATCTATTGCTGTTTGCCTTCAGATTGGGCCTTCTTGTAATCAACTCTGTGCCTAAGATGAATGAGTTCATTACTGGCAAGATGCTAGGAGGGGAATATAGGTAAAATATCTTATTTTTTACCATTTTTAATCATTGTGGGGGAGCTTGTAATCTAACTGAAATGATAAGCTATCACCACTTATAATACATACCATTATCAACACAAATTAAAATGATGCAAGAAGTCTTTTTTCTAAATTTCCGAATTTTTTCAAAATTAAGGGCAAGCAACCAATAATTTATTTCTGGCTAAACCTGCCAAAATTCTGAAACAACTTTATAGATTTCGCCTTATAATGAAAATACTAAAATCTGGAGGATTTTTACCATTTATATAGGTACACTTCAAACGTAATTATCTTCATGATCATTATGTTCAGGGCTCCCCTCTGTGTGAACTCCTACATCTTCAGTACAGAGTGGAGTAGTGAAAAGTTCACAAATTGCTTGAAGAAGGTGGAAATGGATTTGACATACACTTATTTCCTAAAACTTGAGGCTAAATACCATCCTTTGAGGCTCATACTGGTCTTCTCAAGCTTACTGTGCATTTATTGTGGAGTTACACTTTATTACCTGGAAAGATCTTTTGATGCAGACTTTGCACCCTCCTGGAATAAAGGAAATCCATACAATAATCTCTGGCTTTCTGTAGTGACTATGACAACTGTTGGATACGGAGATGGATACCCAGCGACATATTTAGGAAGAGTCGTGGCTGTCATTGCTTGTATAGGAGGAAAAATCATCATTTCTTTCCTCTTATCCTTCCCTTTCTTCCCTCTAATTGAGCTGTATCTGGGAGAGAGATAGTTTCTAGACGCATAAACCCACAATAATTGAGTAAAAACCTTGTCTAAGCCCCATTTTTTCAAATTATGTATCTTTTTACACTAGTTTCAACCACGACTTCACCATCCGGGGTTTTGGGGTTTTGGGGTTTTGGGGTTTTGGGG